CTTGAACTCACAGAGATCCGCCTGCCTCTGCCTCCCGAGTGCTGGGATTAAAGGCGTGCGCCACCACGCCCGGCCTGTAATTTTTATTTTATAAATATTTCATTTATTATTTTAATTTTATGTCTATGAGTGTATTGTCTGCATGCAGGTAGGTGCATCCATGTCATGCAATGCCCGCAGAGGTCAGAAGAGGGTGCTGGATCTCCTGCAACTGGAGTAAGGATGGTTGTTAGCTACCATGTGGCTGCTGGGAACGAGCCTGGGTCCTCTGCAAGAGCAGCCAGTGCTCTGAACTGCTGAGCCATCTCTCCAGTCCCTCAAAGGTAATTTTTAAAGTTCTGCTGTATTTAATACAAAGAGGGAAGATATTTCTTAGCTCTCTAAGAAAAATAACTTCACAGTAACTTTTCCACAGTTGTTGGAAGAACTTGAAGGATTCAGAGAACACTGATTGGAATTAATATAGCAGCTCATGACATAAGTGTGAGTATGTACACTAACAGTAGGGAAAGAGGGAAGTTTGTCTTTGGTTACCAGTTCCTACTCTTAAGGTAGTATCAGCATACAATCTTTTCCTTTTACAGAAGTCTGTACTGGGGTTGCTACAGTAATGCTATGTTTATACTTTTATGTTCCCACATCTGATGTGGGCTTCCAGGGGGCTCCTCTACCACCTGAACTTACCACACAGCCGAAAAACGCACTCAGTAAACACCTGTTGAAATAAAGGGAAGTATCTATGGGAGGGACAGGGAAATCATGGAAATAGACATAAAGCGTTACTTTCTAAACTTCAAAAAGATTTTATCTAAAAACAGTACATGGGCCAGGCGTGGTGGCACACGCCTTTAATCCCAGCACTCGGGAGGCAGAGGCAGGCGGATCTCTGAGTTTGAGGCCAGCCTGGTCTCCACAGTGAATCTAGGACAGCTGGGGCTACAGGGAGACCCTGTCTCAAAAACACCAAAAAAAACCCCAAAAAACAAAAAACAAAAAACCAAAATACAGTACATGAAATAAGGTGCATTATTTATAATACAAATTTAACACCTTCATTTACTTGGCTGGGAAAATGAATTTCATTTGAATCAGGCATTTGTGTCGTTCAGCCCCGACACACCAGTGTTAGGAATGGGACTCAGAGCCCTACTGAATGAAGTGCGCCACCACTGAGCTACGCCATAACTCCCAACAAGATATTCTGAACTCATCAATCAGTACAAACTTCCTATCAACTGAACTCTGATAAAAGATTCCTACAGTACATGCAATTTCTGGACAATGTCTCAAAGTAACCTATTTTTAAGAAACTGTCAAAAGAATTAAAGTAGGTGGAATAGACATTATCCTAAATGCTTGTAACTGCGCATTCTACTCAGAAAGTGGTAAAAGGAACAGAGTCCATTCACGGTAAAGATTCCTCTGAACATTCCTCTGTGAATTATCCAGCAACAGAAAAAGAAAAATTAGGTTTAAGAACCCACCCTAGAGAGATGATATACTCCTGAAACAAAACGTCAGCAGTGTTTTTCTTTTCCATACACATGAACAGCAGATTTGGACACAAAGCCCTTTCCTCTAACTGAACTGTGATCACTAAGTCTACATACACTTCTCTCATGGCACTTGTCAGATGTTTACAACAATAAATACAAGCTGTTCAGGACTCTGCTTATATGTTGTCCCAAGGTATAGCTTAAAGAAAAAAAAAAAAAAAAAAACCTTCAGCAAAGGTCTGGAAGTAGAAAATACAGGAGAGAGACTATGAATGTACTGCCAAAGTGTTTAAACACTCAAGACAATTAGTCAATTTTAATATCAGAAGAGGGCATGTATCTCATCTTTGAAAAGCAGGGCGTGGGGCTGGAGAGATGGCTTAGTAGGTAATAGCACTGGCTGCTCCTGCAGAGGATCCAGGTTCGATTCCCAGCACCCATATGGCGGTTGACAACTGTCCGTAACTCCAGTTCCAGGGGATCCAACACTCTCTTCTGACCTGCAAGGGCACTGCACAATATGGTTGCCCTTACATACATGCAGGCAGGACACTCATAAACATAAAAAATAATTTTTTTTAAAAAAAGCAGGCTGACAAAATTCTCAACTTTGCCAGGGATAAACTTAATAAAGATATTTCACTTATCTCTACACCTACAGAAAACTAGGCAACTGTACCTTACCATTGCTAATGTTTTTCTTTTTTTCTTTAATTTTTTTATTATTTTCATTTTATGTGTATGAGTGTATTGCCTGCACATGTGTGAGTACACCCGTGTCGTGCAATGCTGCGGAGGTCAGAAGAGGGCTTCGGATTGCCCGGAACTGGAGTTAAGGACGGTTCGTAACCATGTGGGTGCTGTGAATCCAATCCGGGTCCTCTGCAAGAGCAGTCAGTGCTCTTAACCGCTGACTCATCTCTCCAACCCCCTAATTTTTTCTTATAGAGCTATTATTTATTTTCATATCATGATTTTTGAAGACGGATGAGCAGAAAGAGTAGAAGATCAGAATCCACAGATGAACAGGAAAGAGAAACACAGGTGTAAAGACATGCTGCAAGAGAAGAACAAAGTCTCTTACTAACCTGCCGAACGCAGAGCTTGAACTCTCTCCAGATACTCATTGATTTTTTTTCTTGGATATGTTCTAGACTTGATCCTGCCATCTCAGCATAAATTAAGGCTTGTGCAGCTTCCTTAAAAACAAAAAATTCAAAGGAATTCAAAGGACATATTGCTATTAGAATTTCCATTACTACTTCTAATTTACTATTTTCTTCATGAATGACAGAACAAAGCATTAAGATTTTTTTCATAAAGCAAATAAACTATAAAATCCTCTAATACAATAAATCAATGACAGATTCATTACAAACACTTCAGAAAAGCTGTGACTTCCCATTCTCTGCTTACTTGTGTGTAGATCAGATTGTAAATTTATACCTTGAAAAGCACACTGCGTCTCAAGAACATTAAAATGGGGCTGGGGATATAACTCTGGTACAGCACATGCCTAACATTTGCAAGGCCCTGGACTCAATATCCAGGACCAAAACCAAAACAAAATCATTAAAACAAATAATCACCAAAATAAAAGTTGTATTAAGAAAAAGATTTTCAAGAGATTATAAAGGTTAAATATCTCACAGAAGAATGAAAACATCAAGGTAGAACACTTTAAGTACGTTTCAATTTTATAAAACAAACTTTGTAAGAAAACCTGGATTTGTCCTGCAGCTTTTCTGTAACTTCTACAGCCAGTTGTGCTATGGCTAGTGAGGAAGAGCTTCCATTTTCCCCATCAATACTACAGGTAGGTTACCAATGCTACCACCTAGAGAGAGCAGACAGTCCTCCAAGAAACAGCCCCTTTCTGCAGTGGGCCAGCACATACTGCACGCATAAGGCCTCATGCTGTTTCCTAAGTTGCCACCACAGAGCATCAATTTTGCAAGCCAGTTTTTGAACAGGAGTCGTTTAAGGGAACCCAACAAAATCAGGAAGTACAGTATGGATCCTACTGGACATTCAACCTAAAGGCCAGGTGGAGTAGAAAAGATGACTTCTTCAGAGTCCATAAGGGAGACATTTCAAGGGAGAAAAATGTAATTTTACATGTGAGCATTAAATATTGTAGCATATGTACCATCATTATCAAAATACATTATAGTTACACTTAACTTCATAAATTGAACCTCTTACACATATATTCTATACTAAATATAAATGTTAACCCTTGCATGTAAATATTGATTTTCAAATAATTATCTCCTCTCTTTCAAAGTCAATTTTTAAAGCTGGGTGTGGTGGCGCATGCCTTTAATTCTAGGAGGATCTCTGTCAGATTGAGGTCAGCCTGGTCTACATAGTGAGTTCCAGGCCAGCTGGGGCTGCAGGGAGACCTTGTCTCAAAAAGACTAAAAAAAAAAAAAAAAGGGCAAAATTTAAAACTGCATCAATTTTATTTTACTCCTTTTGTTTTGTTTTATTTTTTTGAAATAGTGTTCCATGTGGCTGAGGCTGGACTGAGGTTGGACTGAGGCTGGCTTCTCCTGCATTGTCCTTGTTTTTATTCAATGATGACGGTCAATACCATCCCACCCTTTTTTTTTCTTTAGTTTTTTAAATATTCTTCCTGACAACTTCTAAAAGAAAACAAAAGGCACTGCTGGATTTCTTCTGCTTTGGAAAACATTACTTTTATAGGGACTTTTTGGTTTTGTTTTTTGTTACAAAGTCTTGCCATGAAACCCAAGCTGGCCTGAACTCAGTGATCCTCTTACCTCAGCACACTTAGTGCCGGGATTACATGATTAGGCAGGTGCCACCATGCTAGGCTATATGGCAGTGTTTTAGGGGATTAATATTTGCCAAAGTTATTTCACACAAAACTAAAATGGAATTTTCTTTTAAAGAACTATCACCTGGGGGTGCTGGGGAGATGCTCAGAGGTTAAGAGCAGTGGATGCTCTTGCAGAGAACCCCAATTCAGTTCTCAGCACCCTCATAGCAGCTAACAACCATTCCTAACTCCAGTTCCATGGGACCTGACACCCTCTTCTGGCCTCTGCAGGCACTGTACACACAGGTGAACTTACTTACATGCAGGCAACGCACTCATGAAATAAAAAATAAATCAAAAAAAATTTTTTTAAAAAGAACTATCTCGTGGTAGCCAGGCATGGTATCACATGCCAATAATCTCAATACTAGGGAGTCTGAGGCAGGAGGATGACAAGATTGAAGCCAGCCTTGGCTGCATAGCAAGCTCCTGTCCCAAACAAAAAGAACAAAAAGAAATAAAAATAAAGATTCTCCTTGAAAGAGTGTAAAAACAAAAAGTTCAAAATGAATGATCCTAAAACACACCAAAAGCCGCTAAATGTAAGGTAGATTTTAAGATAAAAGCAATAAAATATTAGTTGAAAGCAAACCAGACCTTACTGATAGAACACAAGCTTGAGAAAAAATGAGTTTCTATATCACCAAGATATACCGACCTCATGAACATGCAGGTACCTTCTCATTCAACAGCGGGAATGTTTGGGGTGTGTTTGCCAATCCCCAAGGATTGGAGAACTGTGAAAGCCCATCCCCTTCGATTTAGCAGTTGTGCTTCCAGTTAATCTATCTCAAAGAAATGCCAACAAAGATATTAACTACACCATTAGAATGCTGCAAACCCACAAGGAAACTAACCTAAAAGGCAGCAAATACCGCACATGCACGCAACGAAATGCGATCCAGGTATAATGCAGGAAAGAGGCTTTAAGAAAATAGTAAGGGACTGGAGAGATGGTTCAGCGGTTAAGAGCACTAGCTGCTCTTGCAGAGGACTCGGGTTCAATTCCCAGCACCCACATGGTGGCTAACAGCCATTCGTAACTCCACTTCTAGGGGGATCTGACGCCCTCTTATGACCTCTGCGGGCATTGCGCGATACAGGTGTACTTACACACATGCGGGGAAATACACTCATACATATAAAAGTAACAAATGAAATAAAAAAATAGTATAAAGGTTATGATTTGAGTTTGTGGGTGAAGGAACCGTATACACACATAGGCAGAAAAAAAGAATCACGAAGGCAATCATCACCTGATAGAGTAGGAGATGGATGTATTCTTTCCCAGTCTACCTTCTTTTCTACATCCACACGCATTCTTGGGCATATCATATCATCGCAGACCACTTCCCGCCCGGCCCAGCTCCTGCCGCCACCGAGCAACCGGGCACCTGCCGGCTCCTACTCAGCCACTGAGGCCCGGGACAGCCCAAGCCTCGCGCTCCGGGACCCACCCTACCCGGCCCGGCCGCGTCCATACCCTCCCCTCCGCCCGCGCGCGCCCGGGTGACACGCTCCAGTCCCGCCTCACCTTGTAGTAAAACATCACCTCGGAGTAGCAGCCTTCGTGATCCCGCTGCACAGCAACAGCGCGAACAGCACCGCGTCCCGCTCCAACGCCGTCGCGTCCATGGCGCCGAGGGACGGGGACAAGCGCTGCCACCCGCGCGCATCAGGCTGAGGCGCCGCGGACCGAACGGCAAAGTTTACTTTCGGTTACTTCCGGCGGCTGAGGAAGGGGTAATTCCCTCCGCCTCGGCTCAGACCGACCAGGCAGCCCGCACCCGGACCTCGCAGCTCTGGTTCCGAGCCCGCGGGCTCCGCCCCCTCGCGCCACGCCCACAGGTTGCCCTGCGCAGGCGCAGCGGGCCGCAGGGGGCTCCCCAGCCCCAAGGAGAGGCGGAGGGCGAGGCCAGGTCGCTCCGTGGGGCAAGCGGGGGTGGGGTTCACGGTCATCTTCTTGGACGGTGGGCGGGGCAAAGCCCGCGGAAACCCGGTCTGCGGGGCAGTTGCGCATTTGGTCTCTTTGTCATAGAGGACTGGGCGGGAGAAAGCAGGTGTCAAGTCCGGCAGTCTCGTCCATCTGGCAGGAAGGAGGTGTCAGCGCCCACGGAGGTTGTCGCAGATGATTCGTGGTTGGCCAGAGAGGAGCATGCGCCTTTCCTGCACTAAGTGTAAAAGGAGTAGGCGAAAAGAAATAGCACCTCCCATCACCAACTGGATTGATTAAAACTAAATTAGAAATGTGAAGAATGGGTGCTTTTGATATGCGCTGTGTTGACACTCATTTTCCACAAACTCCATCATGACCTTATGTGACTCACGAAGATATACTGAAGTATGGTATCGCGTCGTCAATAAACCACATACATAATGTATTTTCCCTTGTATCTTTAGGTTGATTTAATGTACTTAAACAGGTAATTGTTCGATTGCTTTCTTCTCTCCCCTTAAAAGTATGAATTCAGTAGTGATGAAAATGATCTAATGATTGGTGCTAGAATTTGGATGGAATTCAAAATCCATGCGTACTCAAAGTGGCAAACCTTGACAAGAGTATACACTCTATGAGTCCATTTATCAGAAACGTTAGAGCAGCACATGGTGACACCAATCTGTAATGCCTGCGAACTGGGGGCTGAGGCAATAAGACTAGGAGTTGAGGCCAGCATGATCTACACATCAAGACCCTAACCCCACCCCAGGAAGCTCATATCTGTCACAGTGCAGGCTTCTTAATGGCCAACATACACACAAATCATCTGGAAATCTTGTTAAAGGTTCATTGTGACCCAGTCTGGGGTGGTGTCAGCTGTCAGGAAGTTCTAGAAAGATTCCCAGGTGATTCTAATGCTGGTGGTTCGAGGAACACGCCTTCGTTATCAAGGTCACAATGATGTGTATGCCACTACCAGAATTAGGCAGTTCATAGCTGAAGAGTCTGTGGTCAGCATCCCTCCCTGTACACCAGGTCTATCTGGACCTTCCATCTTGTCTGTACCAGCTGTGACTGCTTGTCATTTCTTCTCTCCACCCTTTCTGTCTGTCTCAAGCCCCAGCAATAAGATATTCTCCAACACCAAACTTCCAAAGTCTTGGGCCCAGGGTTTTTGTCCCTTGTCATCATTCTCTAAGGAAGACAGGGAATCACAAATAAACCATGAAACTGACCGGAGAGGTACTCTCATCTCTCAGGTGGGTAGTTACACATTCATTATTTATCCATCAATTCAGAAAATATTTACTAGACTCATGCCAAATATCTCAGGTTCCCTAAAGCTCAAAAAGTTTGTGCACGAACCTACCTGAAAAGCAAGTACTTCCCCACAAAACTTGGTTATGAATGTTCACAGCAGCTTTAATTTTTAATTTATTTTGTAATTAATAAAATATACATATTCATGGAATATAACTTTGAAATACATAGGCACACGTATATACATATATATGTATATATAGTAGAATAGATAATCAAGCCTGCGGGGGGGGTCTCTCCCTCTCTTCGCGGGTCGTTGGCCACCGGCCCACGAGGGCAGGGAGAGCAGAAGCGGCCAGCGGGGTCAGGACGGCCAGTGAGCACTGACGGAAGACAGCCCTTCCGGGGAAGCTGGTCCCAGGCGCAGTGAAACAGCAGTGCTACAGCCCCAGACACAGTGAAACAGCTCCGTTTACTCAGTGGGAGAACTAGAGAATTTATAGTGTGGAGGCAGTAGCAAAAGCCTTAGTTGATAGGTGCTCATAGTGTGCTTTATTTACATGTGGCAGTGGGCTCCTATCTTCCAGACTATCAGGCAATGCCTGATTATCATATAGAAAAAACCTGGGGGTAGTTTTTACTCCAGGTAACTATGCCAAAGGTCATGTTTCAGATAAGGTCAGGCATCCGTGCTTGGTGGCACTTTCCAGGTGAGCCAGGAAGAGAGCAGGAGGCCCCCTGCTGAAAAGGGGAGTCCTTCCATTTGGCGCCGAGCCCCTCAGGGATATCCGGACATGGAGAACTACAACCCTAACAGCAGGGTTTCCCAACAAAGCCGATAAATACATGCGGCTTTGTTTTTACTAGCCAAAACCTGGAAATAATTCCAAATATCGAAAACAAGTACATGGGTAATCAAATTGTGATATAATCACACAGTGAAATAAGACTCAGCAACAGAAATTGAATGTGTTACTGATGCACATCCCAACATAGGTGAATCTCAAAAATATTATTCTGAGCCAAAGAAAGCAAGGACAAGGGAACACATACTCTGACCCTGTGTTTCTTTTTGTCCCTTGTCATCAAAACTCAAGACAAAACTAATATATAATGACCAAAAGTGGGTCAGTGCTTGCCTAGAATTGTGTGGAGGGCAGGAATTGATTTGGAAGGAGCACAGAGTTTTTCAGAGTGATGGTGTCATATGAGTATATAAATTTTTCAATTGTACACTTAAAATCTTACATTTTATTGCTTATAAATTTCACCCTAGTCAAGTTGATTTTTAAATATAAAAATAGTCATATGGCCAAGAGTGGTGGCACACGCCTTTAATTCCAGCACTGGGGAGGCAGAGTCAGGTGGATCTCTGTGTGTTCAAGGCCAGCCAGGTCTACATAGTGAGTTCTAGGATAGCTGGGGCTACAGGGAGACCCTGTATCAAAAAGACCAAAAAAAATAAAAAAATACTCATAGGAAGGATTCATAAGTATGACTTATTCACATCATTATTTACTCTTTAAATCACTCAGCCAAGTAATGGTAATTTACACCATTCAGCAAATCCAAGTTCTGTTGGCCATCTGCACTAGCCAATACGTGGCAGCACCATTAGATAATTGCTAAGACAGAATCAAAACTGGGAAGGCCCCAGACAGCAGCTCAAACACATGGTAAGTCTGACACACTGTCCCTGGAGACCTGATGCTTAGGGAGTAGGAAAGGGGTTCAGGCTCAGCTGAAATTGGGGTGTCAAGCTCATGCATGCAGAGATGGGATTCCTGGGGTATGGTAGCGAGGAGGGATGGAGATTGAGTGGTTCTCACCCTTCAGTGGCTCCAAAGTCATTTGGGGCAGGGGTTCACAAATTGCTATGCTGCACCTCAAAGTTCTTGGTTCTGTAGATCTGAGCAGGACTCTGGAATCTACATTGCTGACAGGACCTGGCAGTTGGCGCTAAGGATACTAGAGCAGTGGTCTCACTTTGAGAACAACTGCTCTAGGAAGGAATTGTGGGAAGCTTGATCATGTTGCTGGTAACAGTTTCATTCCTTCCCTGTGGTCCCATCTCTGCTGTGCTGTCTTCATGGCTTTGACGTTTCCTTCTTTCCTAATGTCTTCTCCTGTGACCCTTCAGGCCACTCTGCCTTTGATCCAGCAGCAGCGTGTGTGTGATTGCTGCTCCACCATCTTACACCTACATAAGAAGACAAAGCTTCTGTAAGTTGTCAGAGGTGGATGCTCCTGAGGTCCCCACACTCCTATGATAGCATAAAATGAAAGTCCAGGATCTTGGCATCTAAACCAGATTCAGAGAGGAATATGATGAGTCTTTGAATATTACCCCTTTTGATTGAAAAGCTGTTAACAAAAGAAATAAGAAATCTGCTTACACCCACCCACCCAAATGATCACTACAGAAAAGTCCTTCTCAAGAAAATAAAGAGGGCTGTGGTAACCCACACCTATAATCCCAGCACTTGGAAGGTAAAGGCAAGAGGATCAGGAATTCAGTCATCCTTGGCCACATATCGAGTTTGGGGCCAGCCTGGGCTACATGAAACCCTATCACAAAAAGTCTACTGTAAAGGAGGAAAATGGGAGGCATAAAGCAGTAATGTACAAGAAGCCTGGGGTTCCATTTCTGTGTTCCATCTACCATCATTTTCCTTCACCCGGAAGCACTCCTGGTTCAATCCCTCCATAGGGGAGTCAATATCTGTGATTTCCAATTCTAAAACACACTCGGCTCTAGACATGCAACCAAGAATTTCAAACCCGACTTACACGTTGTCTATGAGAGAAGACTCAGCTCTTTCGTCAGTGTTGCTAGTTCTGGAATCCAAGGTCAGAGACCACTGAGACTAGACTGTTGTGCGTCTCTTCTGGCCTTGCACTGACAGTCGCCCCAGAAACAACCAAGAGAGGGAAGAGCATAGTTACAGAATTTAACTTTCTCTCATGTGTGCTTGGGCACTGTGCTGAAGGCTTTCCAGAATTATCTCATTCAATTCTAAAACCTTATATGGTAAGGACTAATGTTCCCATTTTACAGGTGAGAAAACTGACTTGGAGATATTAGTGTGCTCAAAGTTTTCAAAGTTATAAAACTGTAACCCTTTCCTCCCTCTGTTCCCTCCCCCACTTCCTGCTGTTTAACCCTGGCTTGCTATTTAATCCTGGCTGTCCTGGAATTCTTGGCAATCTTCCTGCCTCTGTCGCCCAAGTGATGGGAATTAGAGATGTTTGCCATCCTATATGGCAATACTGATTATTTCATCATTACTTCAATTTCATTATTACTTCATTTGTGTATGCATTCCCTCTTCTGATTTGCTATTTTAATTTGCCTTTGTATTTAACTTTTTTGGTGTATCTCTTTAGTTTATGTCTCTGAGTATTTTGCCTGCATGTATGTAAATGTACCAGAGTCATGCAGTGCCTGCAGAGAACAGAAAAGGGCCTCGAATCTTTTGGAGCTGGAGTTACAGACAGTTGTTAGCTGCCATGTGGGTTCTGGGATTCCAATCCCGGTCTTCTGCAAGAGCAGCCGGGTGCTCTTAATTGCTGAGCCCATCTCTTCAGTCCCTGTGTTCATTTATTTATTTATTTATTTTAAAAAACAGGGTCTCATTATGTAGCACATGCTGGCCTTTGAACTCATAATCCTCTTGCCTCAACCCTCAAGTGCTGATACATATTTGAATATTTTTTAAAATAGCCTGAAATTATTCAGCAATGAAGAAATAATTCATAGAATGGTAAAATAGCAAAATCTTTTACTGCATAGGGAATGACGTCAAAAGTAGCTTTTAATTCAAATGTAGCTTATAGTATAAAAGGGCTGGAGAGATGGTTTGGCAGTTAAAATCA